TCATAACTGTTGCTAGCTTCTTTGTAACTGTACATAAAATAAAGTTAAGATGTTCTGTTATCCAGTCAAATTAATCAAGACACTTTCTAAATTAAATTGCTATCCAGCTATAAATTGTAAGTTGCTTCAAAACAATTTTCATTTAAGAGCTGCTCTCATTGGCGTGTGCCACTTGTTGGTATGATGCCTACTGCAAGATACTACACAGAAAGTGTTAAGCTGGCAAAGTTGGCTCAGGGTTTTTTTTCCCCCCCAAGCAATTCAAGTTTTAACTGGGATCTCTGTTTCACCCCTGACAATGCTCTTGAGCTTTTTTTTTTTTTTTCCCCAGGGATAAAGCATTCCAGTCATTGTTCCTAATGAGTTGTCTGCTGCCAACTAACAACCACTTAAGGTTCCAGGTATCATCAGGGGAAATCTTTTCAGACACTGGGAGGATGACAAAGATTTACAAATTCAAAAATCTGGCATTTCTCAATCCAAGTTTGTGAAGAGTTTAAACATCCATTTGAAGTTACAGAAAAGAGTACCTGATATTTTCCACTTCTAATTACAGAACAGAGACAGTTGTCTTGCCAAAATCTTTGACTCTAACCATAAAAACCTAATTCTTCTTTCTGATGAAATAAATAGTTAGCAGGGTTCATTTATGATATGTGTGCTTAGTGGGAAAAATAAAAGAATACAGCCAGTGTATATTCTAACCACTCAACAGTAACATGAACATCAATGTTTTACATAATTATTTAAAAGTTCATAATTATTTAAAATATGTTCATTACAATTACATTTTCTGGAACCCCTTAATTTCAGGCTCACATAAAAACACTATAGCTTATGACAGACTGACACACTTCCCTATTTTTAGCAAGAGATTTCTGAAACAGCTTGAGTGAAAGTCTGAATTTGAAACTGGTCTTAAAAATAATGATTAAAAACTTATTTACCCGTGTTTTGTCTTTTTTATAGTTAGTATACCTTTATTTAGAAGGAATGAATGGGACCCTTCTATACTCTATAGAAATTTTGTGCTTTCAATAAAAGTTGGTGAAAGTTAATCAATTGCATCTCCTCTAATGTTATTAATTAAGACATAAAGAAATCATGTCTTGTGCAAGGTTGGGTGGCAGATGCCTGTTATCTCAATATTCAGGAAGCAGAGTCAGGAGGCTCATAAGATGAAGGCCGGTGTGGCTTCACAACAGAGTGAGGCTGTTTTAGGTAAAGCAAAAGAGTAATGTTTCCTAACAAAATATCCAAAGGAAATGTTAAGTGTCAGTATTTCTTTCAACTTTTTATAAATGTTCATAAATTCTGGTTAGTCATATTAATTTGTGAAAAAAATAATGAGTTGAAACGGTCATCCAAGACAGAGATTATCACAGTCACAAATGTAATATCTATGAATAGCTAAATACATTTAAAAATCTGTTTAATAACTGGAAGTTCACAAGAATATCAAATGAATCAGTTTCATTATTTACTTCTTTAACTTTTCTGTGAGAAAAAAATAGTTACCTAGTAACCATTTTATCATACACTTTAAAAAACTGAATAGGGTGTTGGTTAGGAAAAAAGCAATCTAGACTTTTCTATCATTTTAGTCACATTGAACAAAAGTCTTATTAGCAAAATGTGCAACAATACTCAGGTTTCTGTCACAGTTATTATTATTTTGGAACCACAATGAACAATCCATTCCCTAAGAACAGGAAATCCTTTGAAAATGGTGCTCTTCTCATTAAACATACAATTAGAACACTTAAGAAGATTAATACTAATTATAATCATTAAATTCTTTTTTAATTGGCTCCCTTCCATTTATACGAAAATTTAATGTTAAAAGCCCCAAATGTTTGGAGCCATGTAGTATTTTTGAATTTTCTAAAGAATGGGTGCCAAATGATTAAATGGAATGATTCATTCCATTTGTGGTGAATTATCTGGTAGAATAGGAACAGCCTTGGGTCTGAATCTCTAAAGTTATTTGGCTATCTGTGATTTTCATTGCATTCAACGTCAAAGGGTTTCTCTTAAGTGCTGAGTTTTATGCAACGCTGGCTTGCATCATATGACAAATAAGGAATACAGTAATGACAGTCTTTCTAGGTTAAGGAGAAATTATAACTTAGTGTGCAAAACTAAGCAAACAACTGTATTACAGGTCTACAACATGCCAGGCACTCTCCTAGGCCTGAAAACATAATGATGTCTAGACTGAAATGACTCCACCCTCCACAAGCTCTGGAGCTTGTTAGCTGAAAGTTGTTATGCTTCATCCTCTGCAGCTCTGCTTATGTTTGTGTCTCCAACTCTCAGGCATGTCCTTACTCTGAGCAGCTACAGGACTATCTCATGTTGGCCAGCCTTGGTTGGCTTACTACTACTCCAAGAGTGAAGAAAAGTAACAAGACATGCAACAAAAAAATTAAAATATGTAACCGTTGTCAAAATTTTGTAATTGCAAACCCCAACAGAAACTCGGTCTACACCAACTTTCTGTCAGCAGTCTGTATTTCTTCCCTCTAAAAAGATGCAACCATACTGAAGTCATTCTCTGCATTGTGCTATGGGTCATATGACACACAGACGTTCTATTCAAATGCATCCTTTTTGTTTTATAAATTGTATATACATGTATTGGTATATCTACAAAATGTGTATCTCATAGAAGAGTATATTTCAATTAATCCATTAATTATCAGACAAATATCAATCACACTCTCTGCTAAACAGCTGACTGACTTATTCATCATTTAGTGAAAAGATTTGTTGTTTAGCTGTTAGGGTGGGGTTATTGAAACCATATAGATTCTGGTCAATGAGATGGGTAAATTTAACCATGACACTCATTTTCATGTCTTGGCTCTTCTTGAAATGGTGAACAGACAAACCCAATCAACAAGACCTCATATAAATTGCCACATTATAATAAATCTATCTCAAGGCCCAATGTGACTTATTGAGTTCTGTTTCAAACACTAAGATATTCATATATTTATGTCAATGACCTGAGTTGTAGTCCCCCACTACACACACACACACACACATCCCCCTTGCCTGCCCATCTCCAGCTACATTCTTGCTTCAGGCTAAAAACCAAAAATCTGCAAAGCAAGCAATCAATCACCGGAGTAGCTTACACATGCCCTCCTCATTACCGCCTTTGCTCACACCCTCAAACTGAGGTCATAATAAATCATGACCCTTTGCAACACCTTTCTGTTTTCTCCCAGAAACTTGAAATGCTGGTAAACTTCCAGTTTTTGTGCTGTTCTAAACATTTTCTTCACAGTTTGCATTTAAAAGACCATGCTAAACTTGTCTGTGTGGGCACCTTGAATGGCAGCTAGTCTCCTGGGTAGAGAGAGCAGAGGTGCAGTCACAAAAGCGACATAAGGAACATGCACTTTGATAAAGGCAACACAGGGATGTAGTCAGAGGCTCAGAGCACAGTGATGGGATTCTTGAATTGGTTTAAAGAAAACTTCACAACAAACAACTCAGAAGATTTGATTGTCAGAAGCACAACTTGTTTGCTAAAACACTAAACCTTTACAAACTATTTTTTTTTTTTTTTGGACAATTCCGTAGTGTTTTAAGAAACACCAAAGTGCTAAGTAGTGGAAAAATGCACATTGAAACAATGGGATTGGGGATGGGTGGCTGGGGTGGGTTCTCTGGAGTATTTCTATATACCTTGCCACCACTGATACACAAGTCTAGTTTTAATATGCATCACTAGCTTTTAAAATAAACTGACACTATCTTACCTTAACATTTAATAAAACATGCCTACCTCACAAATAACACATTTATCAGATACTATCAAATTATTAGCACATAAAAGTGGTTGAGAAGGCTTTTTTGGTTTCTTGAAGAAATTTATTCAACAAATCATTGACATATTTAGAACGGTGCTAAAAATATGCGAAGTAGACATTTGTGTACAAAACAAAGTATGAAGAATTACTTTAAAGTTGTATCTATATTATCACACACTTTTAAATAATTATATCATTTCCTACCTTGTAATTGTATCCGTTTAAATTAATTTATGCTAAGTAAATTATGACAAGTCCAAACAGGCATAATAAAGAGGAGAGTGGTTGGAAAGCCCCATGACAAAAGAAATATGTTAAAATACAAAAGCCTGTCCAAAATCACCCTTGTGTTGTTTGCATAAAAATGCAATATTTGAGGTATAAATAAAATAGTTTACAGCACTGAAATATACATATGGATATTTTCCCATTACTCCAAATTCAGTCTCTCTCTGTCCCTCAACTTTGGCTTAAGTACGTGTATTTAAGCCATGGTCACTGCATGCTTGATATATTAAGCCAAGGTAAAGTAGCAATAATGAAAATCGGAGACACTCAGCTGCTTGGTTCCTCTTTTAATGCCTGAAGTCACCTAGAGTTCTCAAAGACACAGTTCATAAAATGTTCCTCATGGGAATGTTTTCTCTTGGGAACTTTCCAGATTGTAGGAATGCCCCTACGCTCAGGAAAACCCAAGCATTGCTTCCAGACTATATCAGCATTGTACTTTTGCCCCACTAACAAGTGGCTAGAAATTCTATTTATTACCTTTACCCAAGTTCGAAGCTTTTTCAAAATGCGAACATTCTTAACCCACCCGAATTTAAACAAAAATGTAGCTTTTTTATTCTCCCCTCCATCACACCCCCCCAAAAAAAGTTCAAGACAGATTAAAGAGAAAATGTTGGTGTTAGAAGTGAACTCGGATTGTAAGAAAGGGAAAAGAGAGTTAAAAAGTCAGTCATGATTTCCCATCATCCCTGTGAGGGCAGCTGCCATCATCAATACAGGACTGAGAAGCTGAGTCTTCATTCTTGACCGGACTCCTCCGGGCTTTGTACTTTCGTTAACTTTCCATCAGAACCGAAGTGCAAAGAATCGTACTTTCATTCTTCAGAAACTTTCAGAAACTGAGTCCAACACACACACACACACACACTTACTTGACTTATTTACCTGTTCTTATGTCGCGTCTTCAGCAAATTTCTTCCAAAGGGAGCCATGGTCTGCCCAGGAAGGCAAGCAAATAACACAGTCCTTATCTCAAAGTGATCTGGGCCTGGGGAGGGGGTGGGTGCCTGGGTCCCCCACTGCTGAAAGGAGGAGGCTGGAGGCTTCCTTTTCACCTCCTCAGATGTTCCTGGCTTTCAGCTCATTAGCAGCCGGCTGAGAGAGTTGCTGGAAGTTGTGCAATTGCTACTTAACTTTGAACTGCCGGATTGTTGTGGCTGCTGCTCCTAGGGAGACCAGCCCAACTTGCAGCCTGGAAGAAGCTGTTTGTTTGGAAGCAGAGAAACCAGAGTGGGGGGGGGGGGATGAGAGACAGGGAGAGAGGAAGAGGCAGAGTAGGAGGAGGCAGGGAAGGGAGGGGGGCAACTCTATTGTGTTTCGTAGCTATTTGCCCACTACCTAACTTCTAAAACCTACCAACCCTACAGGCATGGTAATAGCCCATGGGATGGGAATTTCGCTCCACTTGGAAACCCCCCTTTCCTGCTTTCCACACCCAACCACACAAGGTGTACACACATAAAAGATTTTAAACTACGCCCCCCCCCCCCCCAGCCGCCGCCTCCTGCCAGCTAGCTCCAGTCTGTGAAAAGTAATCTGATCTTGGCAAACAGGAATGAGGGCCAAGAATGCTTTCCCTACCGACTCCCTTACTCGAAAAATAAAAAGCCTCCCCTGCCCAGAATGCTTGTATGGTTAAGCCAGTTGAGGAGTGCAGCTACTAGGAAATCAAGTCCCCTAGTTCTCCGTTGTAAGAACTTCCCTCAACTCGACTCCCCCCACCCCACCCCCGCCGCGCGCACACTCTCAAATTTTTCTTCCATCCACAAGGACTGTGAGGCTAGCAATGCTGCCTTGCTGAGGACCCCTCCTGAGTCTCTGGCTGACCCCTGGGAGTGCTGACATCCAGCAGGTTGTGAGATCACTTACAGTACCTCAGGGACCTTGGGAGTGCCATAGGAAAGCAGTTTGCCATCGCCTTTAACAATACAACAGTAGAATGGGGTTGTGGAACTAAAAGGCTGAAAATAAACTATGGAGATTATGGTCAGAATGTGTGTGTGTGTGTGTGTGTGTGTGTGTGTGTGTGTGTGAGAGAGAGAGAGAGAGAGAGAGAGAGAGAGAGACAGAGAGACAGAGAGACAGAGACAGAGACAGAGACAGAGACAGAGAGAGCGCAGAAAACTCGAACCCATGACCTGGGCATCTAAGACTAGCTGTAGGAGGAAACATCTGCAGGGGAAAGGTGCTGGAGGATTTCCCCTGGGCCTTTCTTCTAGTCACTCACTCCTAACCGCCTGCCAGCAATCACTCCTCACAACCACCACCCATATCCTACTGACAGGCTTCTGGATGGTTGTGAGGAGGTGGCTGGGGAGGGGGCGAAAGGAGGGGGGGCAATGGACCCTGAACTTTACAGCTTCTCTTTTCAGGTGAATGATGCCTTGAATCTTAGCAAGGCACAAAGAGGACCCCAGTTTTCTGTGGAAGTCCTGCCGGGTCCCCAAGAACAACAAAGACACCATTGCAAATATATTCTTAAACACACTGTTCCAGATTTCAGGTTTCCCATTGCTTGTATGAACCATTTTTCATTACTTAGTCATAATTTTATCTATGTATTATGTCTGTTATATTAAATAAGGTAGTGTTTTCTTCATAATCTTATATAAGTTATGCATATGCTCCCGAACCATTATAAATTTGAAAATTATACTAGACATTGTTATAATTTAATTGTTTTAGAGCCCCAGAAGAACTGTTTTAAGCTATATAATCATGTCTAAATGCTAGAAAAAACTTTTATAATAATAAAGTATGTTTGATTTCTCTCTGTAGATAAATACATGAGGATACAAGTGTGCCTTTCATTTTATACATATATATGTATACATATATGCCTTTTTTATGTAATAAAAGTCATATAATCTCGGGTATATTTCTGCTTCCTTTTTTAACACATAAAGTGACTTAAGTCATTAGGGAAGTTTACATCGTTTCTCTAAGTTATTCTAAATTGAGTTTCTATAGCTGTGATGTTTATATATCAATGTAATAATTTTGTCAATTTGCAGAGAATTTTGCATTTGCTATTGTCTCTATATTTGTGGTTCCCTTTGTAGAATTATGTATGTACAATATATTTTTAATAAAGACTTCATGGAGGAAGAGGAAACAGTATTACACCTTTACCAGCATAACCTTTATGATAGTTTCAAGTTATCACAAATGAGTTGCCTTTAACATGTTATTATTTGTCACATAAAATAGCCTATTAATATTCCTCAGGACAAGCCCTTTCATGTGTAAGAGTTAAATACAAAGAGGCGTGTGTACATTAAACAAAAGTGTTTTTATTTGTCAATTATATGTTAATAAAGCTGGGGCAAAGCACAAAATGTTACCATCCCCTAATTATTAAAAGCTTAAAGAAATACAAAACATGGACCCTAGTTCTTAAATATAAAAACAAGAAAGCAATAATACTCTAACCCTAATTTTAAAAGTTAATAACAAAACTAGGCTTTATAATATTTGATTCATGACTAAGATATTCTGTAAGAAATTATAAAGGTGACTTTTATTTTGATTTTATAAATTTGTCTGGTTTTAAAATCCTGATGCTCTACTCTGCAAATACAATGGTTGCAGAATCATATTTCATATGAGTAGTATAAATGGATGTGTAATTTTACAAAAGAACTTAGCTTTGTACAATAATAACTTTCAAAATATTCAACATTGAGGACAAATTTATTCTCAGAAGTTTTCCCAAGAAAATAATGTTTCTGAAAAGGGCTAATGCTCACTGACTGTCATTTTACTAAGTAAATGAAATAATGTATATGAAATTTTGACAGGTGGTATTAACCTAAGTACTTCTTTTCCCCAGAATTATCCCAAAATTGAAAATAAGACAGATAACAACTCCATGTCATTCCAATGTTATAACAGAACACTTGTCTAACAGTAATTCTTATTATTTGAGTTTTTTTAGATTATTTGGGTGTCTGGAACAATGCATTCCTATGTATTCAATAGAATGAAGCTGATGCTAAATAACAAGACAAAATAGATAAGCAGATAAGCTGTAAACAATTTTTATTGAGGAGCAATCCAAATTATTTTGATGGTAGATGGTGGCTAGTGTGTCCTTTCTTTCTAGAAGTACAAATTTGAGCTCAAATAGAAAGTACATGCTTTCTGTGTTACCTTTGGAATTTTTATCCCCTCCCCTTTTTAATTTAAATTTAAAACAAGCTTGTTTTACATGTCAATCCTAGTTTCCTTGCCCTCCCCTCCTCCCCTGCCCCCACAACCAAAATCCCATTCTCTTTCTGCTTCCCAGGGTTACCTCCTTCCATGAGGGATCTTCAAAGTCTGCCACATCATTTGGAGCAGGGCCTAGACCCTGCCCCATGTGTCTAGGCTGAGAGAGTATCCCTTTATGTGGAATGGGCTCCCAAAGTACATTTTTACTAGGGATAAAAACTGATCCACTACCAGAGGCCCCATAGACTGCCCAGGCCTCCTAACTGAGATCCACGTTCAGAGGGTCTGGTTTGATCCTATGCGTCTTCCCCAGCTATCAGTCCAGAGTCCATGAGCTTCCCTTTGTTCAGGTCAGCAGTTTCTGAGGGTTTCTCGAGCCTGGACTTGATTCCTTTGCTCATCACTTCTCCTTCTCTGCAACTGGATTCCAGGAGTTCAATCAGTGTTTTGCTGTGGGTGTCTGCTTCTGCTTCCATCAGCTACTGGATGAGGGCTCTAGGATGGCATATAAGGTAATCTTCAATCTCATTATCAGGAAAGGGCATTAAAGGTAGCCTCTCCACTAATTGCTTATATTGTTAGGTGGGGTCATCCTTGTAGATCTCTGGACATCTCCCTAGTGCCAGATTTCACTTTAAACTTAAAATGGCTCCCTCTATTATGGTATCTCTTTTCTTGCTCTCCTCTATTCTGCCCCCGACTCAATCTTTCTGCTCTCTCATGTCCTGCTCTCCCCTCCTATTCTCCTCTTTCTCCTGACTCCCTCTCCCATTCCCTATGCTCCCAATTTGCTCAGGAGATCTTATCCCTTTCCTCTTCTCCAAGGGACCATGTATGTCCCTCTTAGGGTCCTCCTTGATTCCTAATTTCTCTGGTGGTCCACAGGCTGGTAATCCTTGGAATCTTTAGAAGATGGTTTCTCCTGATAAAAATAAGTCACTAGAGGTGATCTTTAAATGTTATATCTAAACCCTACTTTACCTTTGTGTTCTGCTCCTGGGTCCCTGGCCATGTTGTGAACCAGCACCACCTCTGCCTTATGCTTTCCCTTCTACTCCACAATAATGAATTGAACTTTCTCTGAACCATGAGCCAAAATGAATCTTCACTATCTGGAGTTGTTATGTCAGGTACTGGTTCACAATCATATGGAGGTAACTAATATCTTGCCTTTCAGGGTTATATTGTCATTTGAAACTCAACATAGATGACATTGAAGTTAATAATGATGAGATTAATATTTGCCCTGATGGATGAATGTTATTCTGTGATTCGATTGGTACCAATGGTAAAAAGTTTTGAACCAAAAAAACAAAAACAAAAACAAAACAAAACAAACAAACAAAAAAACTTCTCTCACAGAAAAACCCTACTTTGTAGGCTACGAACAAGAAATATATGTACAAATTGTTGGCACAGTCATTTTCAAAGTATAAAACCAAACACTATTTATATTGATGGAGTCTTGGGAGTCTTGTTCCCTTGCTGACAAGTAAATTTCAAGACAATTAGAACTCTGCATGCATGCAGTGGGGTGTAGAGCCTTGGCACATACTCTGCACCATTTAAATCAACACCTCAATTGCCATTCTCCTCCAGTATATTATAAAGCTAATCTTTTGAAAATACTTCTCTCTGTACCAGTGTCAAGAGATAGGGAAGAATTGGAGAGACATAAGACAAAGAATCCAAAGAAGCAAAGTTATAAGGTGAGCAAGCCCATGTCCAACATGGAGGCCACACGAACCAAGCATTAAATTCCAGGCTTCTGCTTA